TTTTTTCGAATTATATTTAATGTGTCTCCAATACTCTCAGCACATGGGAGTTCTTTCTAAGCTTTCTTTGATTTCTATTGTTCTTTGATAATTTCACCAAAATATATTGTAAACCATCGACATTTTCATGAAGTTGAATTGTTCCGGACTGGCAGTTGCAAATTCCTGGCTAATAGCCTGCATTGGACCAAATTTATATAAAACGTGTTACATATGTAATGCTGTAATACATTGTAATATTATGAGGTTTATGTTGCACTATGGCCATCGTATCGACTAACATGTAGCAGAGGTCAATGTGATCCTGTACTGCTTCTGTGCATATTTTTTCGGTGTCCTCGTTATAGCCTTATTATTGCTTGTAGTAATAATTTTAGAGATTATAGGCTGAAATGTTTTTACACTGTGAGAATTTTCTATTTCCGCCATGCTGTACAGTGATTCTGCTTCAAATGTAAACAAGAGATTTTCAATTCACAATTTCACAAAATAGTCCTGTTTATAGTCTGCACTTTCCTTCAGAAGATTGGGACAAAAATAGCCAAATTTTTCGAGTAGAAATTGAAAATTGTCTAAAATTTTGTCTGTTAGCTCCGAAATTAGGGTTCATTACTAGAAATATTGAAGAATATGGGAACAAATTTAGACAATAAAGACTGGTGTTGATAATGTAAACTTATGCTTGTCAATGTTTTTTGTATCTTTCAGCACATAGCTATGCTGTTGGGTTTGGTGCATGTGCTGGATTTGGTATTAGTGCTGCTTTGTACAAACACGGAAAGATGGAAGACTGGCCTTTTGTAATTCAAGACCCCAGATATTAATTAACACTTCCTTTGAATGCACTGAAATATTTGTTTTTTTTGTAAGAAAAGTAAATGGAATTTTAGGTTTTCCCTGAAAAGCTGTAATTTATGTGTGACGTGTGCATCTTTAGGTGCTTGCCGCTGAAAGCTTGTAATGAAACAGCACCAACTAGAGATGAAAGTGTTCAAACCTATTCCAGATTTGGTGAGGGCACTATTATGTGGTCTTTGTAGTGTTAGACACCAATGACCATGCATGCTCCATACTTTTTTAGATAAATACAAGATTGAGAATACCCTTTCCAAATCACCTAGTTGTATGTGTATCATGGTGCAAAGTAAACAACAAATTGGAGTAAGAAAAATGGCACAATTTTCCTTTTGTATATCACTACTGACTGTTTACCATCCTAAGGGCTGATTTGTTTTGATTAATTCTACCGACTATGTACAGATAATTATTGGAAATATTCTAGAAGTTCATCATGTTAATTTGGTTTTAATAAAATCTATTTGACCAAATTGTATTTTTTTTAAGTGTAAGTGTCCACTTGACTCTTAGTGGGAGAGGTAATGTTTTTTTTTTATTCTGATCTTTTCCTTCTCCAAATCTACTACAGAAATAAAAAATGGTAAAGACAATGTTGCAGGGAGATTTAGTGATGGATGGTTTGTTAACAATAACAGCAGTGAGCAGTTTTCTGTTTCCTAAAATTACACGTTATCTGTTTGTGAGAGAGTGCATTGAACAGTCAATGTCCCTATGTGTCGCATACGACTTGTTTACTACTTCCGTGTGACTGAGAATGTTCTAGAACCGTACTGTGTCTGGGTGGAATTTTTAGAAGTTGGTTGAATAGGTAATAGGACACTGTAGAAGGTAATGGAACATTCTAGAAATTTGTAGTAAGTTCCAGACTCGTTATGTATGCTGATGTAATGGTCTATTTATAGACAGTGTGGGTATATATATGGGAGTTGTTCAGCACCAAGATCAGATCGGAGATCTCGTTGAATTGTATTGGAGTTTAAGTATCTAGTTATTGGAGTAGTGGAGTTTTACCGCGTTATTGTACTTGATGTTTGCAGAGTGTAATAATACCAGTACCAGTTGAAACCTCGTCTGTTGGCTCCGTGTTCATATTTTATCATCGCCGCCAGGGAAGTCTTTTTGTTACTGTTGCCATTTTGGTATTTGAACCATTACACCTGTACTATACCAATTACGGTAATATTACGCTGCGTGTGACACTATGCCCAAGGCAACGTACCGGTAGTCAACAAGAGTCAGAGTTGCTGAAGACCACATCAGTGAACAATAAACATAATCAAAAGTGCTATCTAATTTGGCCAAAATAAGTCCTATTTGAATGATCCACAATGCAATAAACATAGTAAACACAAATGGAATAATTTACTGTGGAAATTGATTCAAGATTATATTAAATATTTACCCAGGTGACTTGTTTTACGTGCAAAAACATGTGAAATTGAAATGAATGTTTAGTGTGTGTAGCCAATGGAACTAATGTTAACGAACCAGGAGCATGTTTTCAGTTAAATCAAAGCATATGCGGGACAGAATTTGATGAATCGAAAAACCCTTTTTCAACAAACAAGCCAGGCATGGCACAGTCCCGTGGTTAAGTTTTTAGACCATCAATGAGTTAAAGAAAAGTACATGTGTGTAAAATCTGGTTCTGGGCATTTCAAAATTCCAGATTGTTGTGCATTTTAATAATGGTAATAATGCCATCAGTTATATTTAATTGGACTAACATGTTACATATGTACCGATATATTTATGTCATGTTGAACAAATACAAAGGTTGAAGTGTTCCTCTATGTATGAATTAATGTGTACTGAAGTCCATTCTTCAAGAACACCAAAAAAAAATCGGCGCAAGTTGACCACTTTGAATCAAAATGTGAAAAAAAAACATCCTTCATAAAAATCTGTAGAAGATTAATCAATGGTTGTTCAAACAAAGTCACTGTCTTTGCTAGTAAAAGTGATTATTGACCATGCATGATCTTATGCTCGGCAGTAAGATCAGTATTATGCAGTGCACATTACAAGAACCATTCTCATTTAATTTTTATTGTGTCTCAACAAATTCTCAAAATCACTTGATTCACGTTCAATTTCAAAGCACTATAGTAAATAAAGTCAACCTATTGTACCTAGTTTTTAAAAGTTCGCAAGATTATCTTTTATTGGTTGAATATTCTGGATATAAGAACCAATTAAAATGACCAACGTGCATCAGTATGTTTGATGGAACACTAAAACTATGATTATTCATCATTTAAATTCAATCTGATCCAAGAAACGTGTGTGTCAACTATACCCTGTCACTTTGCCAACCAACAAAACCGAGCAAGTCCAAGAAATGACGCCGGAGGTGAAAAAAACCCAAAAATTGCCGGCAGTCAGCCATTTTGAATCCAAAGGAAGTATGTTCATCCAGCATACCAAATTAAAAAAAAAAAAAAACATGGACATGTCCAAAAAATGAGATTGTGGTTTTACAACATTTTAATGATAGAATGAGTGCAATTTGGTAAAAAAATACCCGATTTAAAAGCAACGCTGACGTTTGTATTTCAACTACTATTATGGTCTTCTTTGAACCGAACGGTCAAAGTACGTTGCGAAACTGTCTAGATATGCAAAACGGTGAAACAAAATGCCCGCTAATTGAACTTTTTGAATAAAAAAATATATAAAACCGTCATAGCATGCTTGAAATAAGAATGGAAAACGTCTTGTAAGTAGCATCACATTGATTCCCTGTGTTAGATATTCACTAGCAATTCAGTGGAGCAATACTATGCTATGGTCTGTCCCACTCAATATATGAACTACATGTACATGTTATGGTAAAAATAAAGGTAAATTCAGTGCCAGTCATGATTCAAGCATTTTAGCATTAACTTGTTTATGCGAGGGTATACAACTTAGCAGTAGGGTGGAAATGCTTTATTTGGATTCAGCAATTTCGCTCAGAATAATTTCAGCTTAGTACGAGGAAGAACAACTGTATTTACATCAAATTCTTGTTATAAACGCCAGGCAACGTGTGTTCAAATTTCATGAGTTGTAAACGTTGCATAAGCCCGATATCGAACATGATGCTGTGAGACTCGGACAACTAATAATTCATTGGTTGTCTGAGGGTGAGACGACCACTGCGCTTTAATATCATATAAGAACAACCTACAGAAACAATTCCTATTTTTCTAGGTAATGAATGTGTTCCTTGAGATTGATAGACTGCATTTTTAGCCTAGCATTTGTGCAGTGCTCCACACTAAAGACCGCGCCATAATAGCTACGACACTACTAACATCATTGGCTGAAGACTTGATTGGTTGAATCACAGTCCCTCTATGGTGGTTGAATGAAAATGTTGTCGATGCAAACTCTTGTGTGATGATTAAAATATATATGCACGAACTGTCAAAAGAACCATGAGAGTATTTAATTTCTCTATACGATTAATAAGTATGATGTTGCATAAATATGAATGAGATATTACTAGCATTGTATCTAGGCATTAGTGAAGTGACGTATAGCAATGAAGTTACACATGCATTCTTAGCGCGCTATATGTCACTTGTACTCTTAACTTCTGGTTCGAAACTTGACAAACACCATCGTATGTACACACTTTCTGAATCTCTTGTCCACAGTAAAGTGACAAATATTGAAGAGGGAGGATCGTCCTCTGTGCACGCGCGGGAATTGAGTCCTAATCAACGATAACAACGCGTGCTTAAAACTCAAAGGCTCATGGGTATAAGCTTGTTTGTGTACAACGACACGCTATGGTCGTCTGTTGTGTGCACAGGTGGCGGCGACTCAGTTTTAAAGCGGGGGAGTCTTCACCTGCGCATACGTCAGATTGCCATAGCGTGTCGTTGTTTCGAAACAAGCAATTCCCACGCGTGCGCAGGTGACGACCCTCCCGCTTTAATGCTAATTATCAACTGCCTTAATGGTGAACTGTAAATGCAGTTATGGTGTGAATATATTTACTCACAACCGACTGAGTAAAGACACGTTAACGAAAGGCCCGGGAATTATCAATATCAATGTCTTAAAAAAGAATGACCTTTAAATCAGCTTAAATGTCAAATTTAACCCCAAATCAATACAGGTAAGTAGTATTAAAATATATATACTGTATAAAGTAATGAGATATTGTACATGAAGTTAGTTAAACACTGTACTGTGCATAGTTAACATTGGGTCAGAACTGAATTGGCAACCTTCTCATTAATTGTATCACTAAAGCCCATTTAGTTAAACACATCTCATCGGTGGTGTCGCTGTTTAATGCGCTTGCACTTCAAATGTGTGCAGCGCATGTTTCCCCGTGTTCCACAAAACAACCGACTGCATTGCGTCACTCGAGTCCGTGTGCATATAATCTGTTTAATTGATTCAGTATTTGTTGGGTATTAATTAAGGTATTTCAGTCGCCACGCGTTTTAATTTCCGTTTATAAAGAATGCATTTGCTCCATGGTCATTTCTCGGCTTTTATGATGTTGATTCCTTTTATATCAATAATTCACGATTTACAAAGTTGTATCAAAACACAGAATGTTACGTAAATCGATAACCTTCGACAACGACTCGGTTCTCAGGTGTAATGAATATTCTAGAAGATTGAAAACGACAACTATATTGGTTGTGTAATCCCCTGTTATTCTTTTATTATAGCCCTACCCCGTCTGTAGACAAGTTAGATTAATATATTGTAGCTTTCATACGATTTTTCACCATCCTTGGGACAGAATATTTGAATTGTGTTTCAACCTAATGAATAATTTTTGATTTATTTAAATACCAGAATACTGCTTTACTAATGTTATAGAACAAAATAGAATAACGCCCTCTTGTGTAAAAGTGCATCTATGACGTAGCGATTTCGTTGACACCGACAATGTTGCTTGGTTGTGTCATACCATGGTCAGACACACCTCACAAGAATCATATCGTGAATCCTAATGTTAAAGAAATAATTTAAACATTTTCTGCCACTCGGGCCTGCATTTCTTTTCGTTTCTCACGCTTGGTGGCAATTTTCTGTCCATTTACTACAAGGTACATAATTCGTTTCATTATTGTCTCGTCATCATTTAGAACATTATACTAGTACCAACACTTTCGAAAACTTTATTTTTTATTGGCGGATTACTTCAATCTAAGACTGCGTAAATAGTCTTCTTTACGTGCAATTTGCGTTAAGGAAGTGTTTCGTCGCATGAGGGCGTAAGTTATTTGAAAGGTCACAGTGTCTCATAAATTAGTGACTATTGAACTTGATGTACTCTAGTGCATCGTGTCCATATACCGACGGGTATGTTGAGTTAGCTCTAAAACCTCCCACTGAAATAGTACGTCGTAAGTCTCATGTTGCAAAGAAAATATTCTCTGTGTAAATAGGGGAAGTATAGATTATTCCAGTTTTATGGTTGTAATCGATAATCAAGATGTACTCAAGTGACCAACAAATCACAAATTTCGGTCATTCCAAACACTCCAGTCATAATGGATACGACATGGTACAGCATTTTATTAATACTAGTAGTAAACATTTGGAGTTGTTTTACCCCCATAGTGGTCACAGCATCGGCGCATCAATTAAAAATATAACTCAACAAATAAAAGTCAACAACAAATAGTATATTTCAAATGTCTGGAATTACCATTTTCAGAGATCCTAAAATATTTTGTCTTTATTAGCATAAATTGCCAAATGGTTACATATGAGCTAAATATAGACTACGTTAGATTGCTAGTATGTTAGTCAACAATATAATTAACATTTCCGCGTACTATTTAAAATACCCAGAAAGCATTGTACTAAAGGTTGAAAAAATATTCAAAACATGTTCTCAAATTATAAAGAAACAACAAAAAACAAACACTTTACTACAAAAGCAATATTTGTTTATTGTGTAGTGTTCTTATGAGCGCATAGCCTAATGAGTTCAAGCAAAGACATGTCTTTGGTTTGAGAGTGTTTCTATAAAACCATAATAAGTAGTAAATACTCATACTCAAAAAAGGTAATGCCTACATTAGGTATATCCATTATGCGCTCAAATTATTTATCAAATAACATAAACTGATGGTAACTATGCGGTGTTCCACTCATTCTACTTCACCCCACTAACGCATATATGTACGACGCTAGACATATCTCATTACCATGTCAGATATATGCAAACGTCACATACCCTGGAAGACATCTTTCGTGCCAGTATCGGGGAATACTTTTTGTTCATTGATCAGTACCTAAGCTGGGCGGGGAAGAATCGCGGGATCTCCAGGTAACTGACATTGTTTACGTTGACGACACTTTCAAACACAACCAATCAAAATTACTGCCAATATCTGATAGCAACGAATACTCGCGAGCATCGTTCCTGGACGCTGATACATTGTGGTACAGCGGAACGTCATTGAGAATGGTAAATGACATAAACTAAAACAAAAATCGAATCGAGTCAACAACCCAAGAATATGCTGCACTATTGTGCCCTCTCATTCGGTAGTTAAAATATACGGAAAAATACTAATTGATAAAACGTCATGTGTTTTTGTGTTGTGTTTTCGATATCATAATAAAAATATATACATTGTGCAGTACATCCCCAACAAAAGTGCTTCGCGGATAGAGGTGTATCTAATCGGATTCGAAACCCTGGGAACGAACGATACCATTGTTAGCGAATTTTGCTCAAAGCACAAATTTAATAGAATCCTAATTTAGCCAACAATCTCATTGTGAGAATATACTCCCTTTAAAACTATCGATATCATGAATTACAAAATAGCTAAATTAGTTAAAATAACGTACAAGCTAAAAAAAAAATACATGTTTTACAGTATGTTGACCAAGTGGACTGCACCCCAGCCCCCGCCTCCATTCAGGTCCTACATATACCCTGTGCTCATATAAGTGCACATGATACAGGCTACCATGATTGTTCAAAGACCAATTACTAAGCATACAATGGAACATGTTAATAACAAACAAGTGAGATATAACAACGGACAATACACTCGTCTAACAAACTCGTCTGACGGAGTTTCAATGTTATACTTAATTGTGCAGTAGAGAATTCAAATACATCAACATGCTACAACAACCATTACTGATAAAAGGACTACACAATTTACTTTCTGAAATGATTTTCCTATTAAAATTCACCTTAAAGAAGAATTCAACTTCGAATTAATAACGTTCACTTGTGTAGATATGTCACTGAACTTTTAAAATTTAATTGCAGGAACAAAATAAAAACAAATGTATAACTATATTGAGTTACTTTATCTTTGTGTACATTTTTGTGGCGCTTTTCTGTTGCTATGACCACGGAACCAATCCAGCGGCCGAATTTCTGAAAACTTGAACGAAGCAGTTTTAGTGTCTGCTTGAATTATTAAGGGCTAACTTGGCTCCATCTCTTCTTGGTCTGGTAGTGAAACCATGCAAAATGCGGCGATAATTTAGTCTTTCCATTATTTCTGTGCATTGTTTTCTTTCTGTTTGCAAACTGAAGTGAACTGATGGAATTTGTGGTTCACTACATTGTTACTATGGTGTCACTCAAGCCACAGTTGTCGCACCCGCGTCGAATTCGATATATTTCCCATGCGTCCTATATGTACACTCAGCGTTCCAATACGTAATTCGGACGCACTGCGCGACGTCTGTATTTGTGAATATATTCACGCACACTCCTTTCGACTTGGAAATTTAGTGTTATGTTTACTTGTATTACATTGTGAGTAATGCCTTAGACTAGTTATCTGCCCATAACGTTGGAGAATATGAAAACAAATCGCCACTGTCGCCACTCCGCGTCACGTACGATATCCCGGGACCCACGCGATGTATACAACGCGTGTAAAATACGTTGTTTGTTCGTTTCTATGAGATTTGAACGCGCGCGATACGACAACTGTGACGTTTTCAACGAATGAACTCCAGTTTTAGTCCTGCATGGCGCCTGTAGCGTGGAGGTTTCAAACTCAGCTGAGATATCAAGTATTCAAGTTCTTCACCGCATTTGTCTTAGGTATTTGGCATCGCCGACATTTTCCTTTTACTGACAAGGGGTTATTGTTTGAGCAATAATAGAACCTCTTATTGCGACGGAGTCTTACGGGACAACGTAAGAGTACTCACATGTGTAAATATCCGTGTACTGTCATGAATTTTAATGAGTTTCGGATAGATATGTGTCTCAATATACCTTTCGCTAATATCACCAGCGTGCGTCTGAAGTTTAGTGCCATTTTAAAAAGTATCTATGTTAAATTCTATACATTGAATTGTTTGTGTGTGTAGTTGTAAAAGACTTCTCCCATAAAAAAAAAAAACTTATATAGAACGAAATTGATGACGTGCGTTGTATATTTGAATGCAGTAAACGTCATATTTTCCCGCCAAAATGTTGGTACAAGACCTAAAAACACATTTGCATATAATTATGTATTTTAACAATATATATATATTTTTATTTTGGACCAGAATGATATAATTCCCCATTGTCCATATATTCTAATCGCTTTTTTCTAGTATATGCGACTTTATTTGTGTAAAGGTGACACAAATTGATTCTAGTCAGCGCTCAAATGGTTTGACACATATTTCCGAAGTGTCCGATGATGATATGCGCTACTCTAGGGTGACGCGGAAACGTGATGCATTTCATTCGTATCGAGTGTTGCCGTATGCGTGACGTCATCAGTAGTTTCTTACGACCAAATACATGTCCAATATATTTTTTTTTTAAATGCTTGAATTATTGCCAAATTAAATATCACCGAAAATACCAGCAGGCACTTCCCAAGTAGTATACACATAACACAAGTCACAGAATAAATACCGGTGTTTGAACTCCTGTAACGACCCGCTGTGTGGATGGTAGAATACTATATGGTTCAACTTGCAACCACCAGCATACTTGAACAACATTTTAAAAATAAATACGGCGAAATAAATTAGTTTTGAAAAGTTGTCATTCGGGTTTGCATAGTTCATAGGTGAGATAATGTTTTGTTTGTATGAAGCGTTGCTGAACTACTCACTTTGGCTCTCTAACTTCAAGTTCCTGGTTTAATATGTGTCATGATTATCGGATCACTCTGAGTAAGTGATTACTTGCAAACTTAACACACGTCGCATTATTACTATTCGAAGTAAACTCCGTACACAGTAGCAAATGCGAAAATTGACCTATTCTTGAAAGTAGCGGTAGCAAAGTTGTCGACGTTATGATCCCAGAGACACCTCCCGGCGGCGATGACCTCTTGACCGTTTATCTTACCGATGGTTACGATGCACACGATTTTGAATCGTTTGACGTTAAGTCTTTTAACTCTATATTTTATCGTATCCGTGATCGACTTCGTCTTCTCCGCGATAACGTCCGCTTTGTATTCGCACTCCAGTAAGTCGTCGTTGAGTATTTGTTGAATGACGTTTTTTACAGTTTCCACAGGGAACCGTTTATCTGGCAGTAGCTTGTATGTGTTTTCAACGACCACTTTCGGCGCAGACACGTCGATGTTTCTAGACTGATGGTAAGTCGATGACGATATGCCGGTGTTATAACGTCGCGGCGACGACCAAGAGTAGTCCCGAGTGCGCGATATTAACCGTCCCAGTACCCGAATCACGCCGAGAGTAAGGCGACCACTTCGCTTGTACGCTCCATCGGTATCACGGTTCTCGCGCGGTGTAACTTCGTAGAGCGATTCGCTTTTGACGAGGCTGGAAGTCGAAGCGTTCTCATCGTCGGATTTGCTCCTTTTTTCCATGATGTGCCGAGTAGTATTATCGCAAAGGCAATGATGTATACTTTCCTTCCACGCGATACAATGGAGCTCTGTCAAATTCAGTCGACGTTGAGGTATGTGTCTCAATATTTGTGTTTCTATGAACACTAAGTACCGGGGATTTGTTCCTCGATCGCTGGTGGCAATAAAACCTAATTGGAGTCACTCATACATACAGGTACCGCAATTGACGTCCTGTTCTCACATCGCATACCAGTTCAATCAAGGCTCGCATCGGTACTGAATGGTTTACGATCAACTCAGCGACTATATTATTTTCAAACGTGGATTTTTATCGCCTCCTAATTCGACAGCTCGTAACTGACCTTCAAGTTGGTCGCAGTCTTTTATTAACTTGTACGAACCTTTTAAAGAAAAGGGGAACACATGTTTCTTGTCAAACTTATTGCGGGTCGGTGTACCTATTAAGCTCTATTCAACACGCTTGTCCAAGCACGTTCACAGCAATGAACTTGCTTTACAATGTATCATTTGACATTCTAGTCCAACAACACAGCAACTCCCACAAACAATGTCATTTAATATACTGCTCCATTTTGTACTTTTTCGCCCATTGCAAGGGCCATTCCATTGCTGCTAGGAGTCGAAGCAGATAACGGTGTACGCAAACAATCGACGATCGGAGCAACTGCGAACACAAACAAAAACAAAATAAATATCTGTTGGTGTGCAAAAACGCGAGCGCACCAAAATGGGATTTAATAATGGCACGCCATTTTTGGCAAGAGGTTGGCGAGTTAAGTCAAAGGGTAATATGTTGTTTTTATAAACACAGGCTGGTGGTAGAAACTCTGACGTGTTACACTATATATTTTATCGATTGGAACATCACGCACATAATATTGAATTCAATTCCTATAAAATCGTTGAAAGAGAAAAACAGATATTTTTATTTTTAAAATACGCACATCCCACGCCATAAAGTAATTACAAAAGTATTGACATCCGAACCAACAGCGTGGTTAGAATAGCCCCTGCACGCAGCGCGGAATACAATCACAGTTTTATATGTGACGTGGCGGCTGTGATGTGTAATACCTACCTACCTGGATAGTTCTCATATAAACGCGACGACGAGGGAGGAGTATAACGTGGCAACATGTGACGGTCTGTCGAGTTATCATAAACTAACACGACCGTGGGGTTAAATACAAATCCAGTTACAAACAACGGCCCCGAAGTAGATGATGACAGTCTGGCAGTCGAGTTGACACAAATCGTAAATTATTGCCACTCGAATCGTCAATGAAATAACAGATCACCCGGCCGTTTCTAAACTAGTGTCAATTCCGCCATGAAGAGGAAAAATCGAACTACGGTTGTAGCACCTGTAAGAAGTAGGAGTGCGTAACTATGGCAACCAGTGAGATAATCCTCTACCAATGCAACGCGCTCACACAACACAGGGTCTATATATAATTAAACCTGCCTCGATTTGACGAAGACAGACGTGATTCCATATGTTTAGTTATAATAATTCGAATTGTACGGACCAGGGCTGCACCATAACCTAAACAGTGCAGAATGACAGAACAACTGGAGCGTGATTATCTGAAAGCGTAAACTGTTTTTGTCTAAACACGAACGCGCACAGGTGGACATGGCATATCAGTCACGCTGACAGTTTATTATTGTAAAACACATTACTGCGTGGCAGTGAAATCAGTTATGGATTTCATTAGAATCTGTATATTACTGGTTCCCATATTCTGGAAAATATCGGATGCCGTACCGATACAACGGCAATTGTTATCAAAGGTAAGTTACGGCTATATCCACCGCTCGACCTAACGTTACTATAAAGTCTGCAGTGTATATACACTGTATCATCCGCTTTGTGCACATATCGTGTCGTAAATTTGTCAGATTTGTATCAAATGACGCGGGGATTGCGCGACTTACTAATTCTGTTGGGTTACTATAGCAACATACATGTGTCATTATATGAGCGGCAAAATAGATTATTCAAATCTTGGATAGCACAGAATAATATTGAATCTAACAAATATTGCATGATCTGCATCGTGCGTAATCAACATCATGATATCGTCGATACGATGTATACAATAAACCACTAGGCGAGGCGACATCCCGAGTCGCATAAACCAGAAGTATTTCATCAAGGAACGTCAAATCCCCGTTTTATATATGGAATCAGTATTCTTTCCATTACATCCACCGAACAGTATGAGTTAATTAAAATTGTTTGACGGGCAAAACGCAGTCACACTATAGACCCTTTAAAAGAGTCACACATACTTTTACGTAGGGAATTTACGAATGTTCTCAGCTCATCTATAACACATTCTCAAAAGATAAATATCTTTTTTCCCCAAAGAGTGATGAGTTTATCGGTCGCTGTAAGTATACTTTGATAAAAGATTGCCGCGATGGCGTCTCTCCAGAGTTTGATGTCACTGCCGAGATGCACGAGGATGGACTGACCGAGGACGGTTTTCCGTCGATTAATATCATTGGAGTGGAAGTACTGGTGCATGGTGATCGTCATATAAAACTGGATGCTGCTGGCACAGTGACGGTATGTTGATAACCTGAGTTAAAAAGTTACGTTAGAGTAACGATATTTATGAACGTACACTTTTTCTGAGCCTTGAATAAGATTTTTAAAACAACCGTAATTCTGGTTTGTGTATTCTATGGCTGCAGCTTAAAGGGTTGGTGGTCGTCGCACCGCGTCCTGTTCGATATGAGACTCATAGCGACGTACACAACGCGTGTAAATACAATGTTTGTTTACATGAAACGCGCTGCGCGACGACCACCGCCCTTTATATGGGTCTCAGATGGCAACTTTGATTACTGCACAGATCAACAAGTACAAACTGAGACGTTACCAAGCTTTAATCAGGTACATTATTAGGTGATTGGAAGGTATTGAAGCAGTCACCGATGGTAATTAGTGCACGTCGCGCCCAGGTCAAACCTCATACTTGTGATTTCCATTTGAAGAGCGCATTGGATTGAGGGAAATCAAAGTTTATCAACACAAATGTCGCTCATGCGCAGCGCGACGACCACCGCCCTTTAAAATACATGTATTTTGCGTTGCATATTCTCCGTTGTATACTTGTGTATAGAATTCTGTTTTTTTTTTTTTATAAAACGTGAAATATGAGTAGTTTTGGTGTGTATTTTTCGTTATGAAGATGTACGTGCCATGCAGGTGACAATGAATGATATCACGTGTATAGCAAGAAAACAAATGTCATAGCACAAATTATTAGTATAAAAGTTCATATTCTTACTTCTTCCACCAAGTTTGAAGATAATAAAACAACACATGCCCAAGGTCGGGACTAGTCATGTCAAAGTTGTTTTTTTTACAACTATAGCCGTCGGCCATCTTTGATCAGATGACAACATTATTGTATGTGTGCCATGCTGACAATCTATATGAATTACATGTACGAGATAGCCAGTCGGCCAACTTGAGTTGAATTTACAAATCAAAATGACGTGCATCAACTACCCACAGTGGTACATTCTTCCCGCAAGTTTAAAAAATAGGATATCACATGACCGAGATCTGTCACATATTTGATTTTAGTGTATTTTTTTACAACAAAAATGGTCATCAGTCGGTCATCTTTGACCGAATCACGAAATCATCGCACGTGCATTTTTATCATGCATGAGTTTTGGTCCAGGGCTGTCCGAAATACAGCCCCGGATGCACGAACATGTGCCGTCTAAGAATTCTGTTATTTCTTATAAAACAAGAAATAGGAGTAGTTTTGGTATGTGACGTAGAATATAACAGCAGATTGAAAACGAGGACATGTGGTTTAGTCATGGAAGTCCTCGTTTCATGCTTCGTCAGAACTTAGGATTACAATATAAATAATATTAAGTAATTGTGTTTGACATTCTATGCTTGTATACCATCACCACACGTATTAAATCACGACATATACCTACATACATATGTCATAAAAAATAATATTTCAAAAAACATAAAACAGCAAACAAATGATATTGAACATTGTAGAACTACCACCAGCGCCAGATATTTGCATTTAGACTTTTGGTCATATATACCCTATTATACACGCGTTGTTATGCATCGCATGGGACCCATGTCGATCACGACGCGCTTCACTATACTTCTGTATATTTGTTACAGGTCGACGGAAAAGTTATCACAAACTTTCCATACATCGTTGATGACAAAGACGGGGATGGCGAGTTAGCCGAGTTGACACAAAAAGACGGTATAACGAGCATAACACTAAAAAGAGTTAAATCTGGATTGACTTGGAACCACGTGCTTCATGTGTTTGGAACTAGTCTCACTGGAGGAGAGTTTAAAGAACATGTCTGTGGCCTGTATAGTGTGTTTTATGGCGGCGAAAAAGAGGCGATTTTGGCATCGAATCCAAATTATCATAAAACCTGGGAAATACCTGGAAGGTAAAACATGTCCAGTTGTGTATGTGACGCCAATGCATATTCATTACATATTATAATTACTTGTTCCATTGCATCACTGTTGATTTCCATTGTTTCCATTGGGGTGTGTGGTACCGGCGCTATTAACCCTATTACATGATGGCTGATACCCATAATAATAATACCAACGTATCCTATTAGGTGATACCAAAGCAGCATATGTTACAGCAGACGTGATTTAACCTTTATTTTAGTGCTATCGCTTTTCATGTAAAAGTGATTAGTGACACTGGCACATCCTGTCACATGGTTTTACTACCCATTTGGAGCTAATACCCACTAACCATAATAGGTGTTCACTTATAACCAATTATCCCATATCTGTGGCTGCTGATACCCAGATGTGCCCATAATGTGATATCCGTTAACCCTATTGTTACAGTAGTATTGTACATATCCAATTATGCTAGTGCTGATGTCCAGTCATCCGGCGGGTTGTTGCTACAACAATTTTTGACATCTTTTTTTTTTGCTTACAGCTGTATTCCTGACTAAATGAAAGCCTTCGGCGGAAAAGAGACCCTCACTTTTATAAGCTATAATGATGTTCAAGTGAAAAAATTACCCAACAAAGAACTACGGGCATGTAATTTTGTCTTTACTCCAATGGTGCCCTGTAATGCCAAACTCTTCTATTGCAATTATAAAAGTAAAGTGGTGGTGGAATAGATGTATTTTAGTTAATATATGAATATAATAAAAAGAGCCTTTCAACTCATGGTTAGTTCGGGGTTTTGATATGGAAACTGGTCTGCTGAAATAATATGCAACCTGTCTTATGAAATGAAACAATAGGTAGAATTGAACATGCAACCTGTCTTATGAAATGAAACAATAGGTAGGAAAGAACATGGAACCCAGTGGCGGATCCAGCAAAATGTATTGGGGG